TAGAGTTCCAGGTGCCTGGCATTGACCTGAGCCTGCCCTGTCCGTTGCAGGCATTTGGGGAATGAACCAGCAGATGAAGGTATTTCTGTGTCTGTCTCTCCCTTTCAAGTAGATGAAAATAAATTGAAAAGGCGCATCTGTGCCCTGATGCTGGCCCCAGTACTCACACCGAGTGTTGGCGAGCTCCTCCCTGGCCCTCCCCAGCCCTGAAGCATCACACTGAGCACCCGCTGACCCTGGGAGCTCGCTCTTCCCAGCAGTGGGTGGGAGTGACCTCTGGGATTTGGGGCCAGAGACTGAGCCTACAGCTTCTGTTCAATCTGCTGTCCTTTGCCAGACTTATCCCTCAATTTAGAGTTACTTTTGCCACCTTGGTAGATTATATACCTGGATGATTATTTTAATTTTCATTTGATTTCAAATTAAATTCCTCTAAATGTTACAAAAAAAATTTCAAGTCACCGCCCCGCCCCCCCCCCCCCCCCCCCGCTCTGAGTGAGCCCTCTAAAGGTAGCTTTCGCAGCCATTTATTTCTGGCCATCAAGCATGGGGGGTGGGGGGGTGGGGTGGGGCGCTGGGTCAGAAGTGAAGCAGGCACTGTGGCACAGCAGGAAAACACCCTGACCTGAAGCACCGGCATCCCATATGGGTGCCTGTTCGAGACGAGTCCTGGCTGCTCCACTTCGGATCCAGCTCTCTGCTGTGGCCTGGGAAAGCAGTGGAGGATGGCCCAAGTGCTTGGGCCCCTGCACCTGCATGGGAGACCCGGAAGAAGCTCCTGGCTTTGGATCAGCACAGCTCTGGCTGTTGTGGCCAATTGGGGAGTAAACCATCAGATGGAAGACCTCTCTCTCTCTCTCTCTCTCTCTCTCTCTCTGCCTTGCCTCTGTCTGTGTGGCTCTGACTTTCAAATAAATAATAAATAAATCTTAAAAAGTACAGCAGCCGGGACTGGAATTGGTACCTATGTGGCAGCTTTACCTGCTACACTACAACACTGGCAGTAGCTATTAAGCTTTGATGGTGATAAAATTCCCTTATCAGCTCATCTAATCTCTTTTGTTTGCATACCTGTAGCTCATGTACAGCACATAAAGTTCATGTTTGCACAAGTGCTCTGATGTGTCAGACACAATTCTTTTTCCTATATATTCTTGAGAGTAGATAAAAATAAACCTGGACGTTTATGTGGGGAGATATTGAAATATTTTCTTAAATTTCCTTTTTTGAATTTTCCTTGTATTTTCTGCCTAAATCTACTCCAAGATCCAAATATGTTTCTTTTCTCTGTGTCCTGAAGTAATATATTTAAAATTTTAATTATGTACCTTCCTTTTTTGGTAGAATATTGTATATTTCACTTAAGTGCACATTTTGCCAAATTATACATGGTCTTCATTTTTTATTAGGGTTTTAAAATAATGATCTTTTTCACTTATATTTTCAATATATACAGTAATTAAATGTAATGTTAATAAAATTTGTAGGACTACTTTTCAGCTTTGATGATATCTTTTTTCCCCAGTTTAACTCAGTGTGTGTTTTCAGTACAATTTTAATTTTCAGTTCCTCTCTTTCTGAGTAGCTTTTGTTTGATAATCAACCGTCTTGCTTAGTGAAAATAGGAGTTAAAGGTGAATAATCAGGCTATCTTCTAAATTTTCTCAGTCTGCATTTACATGTTATAGATCAATCAAAATTTTTAGGGCAGAGAAACCAAGAGACCAAGTGTGTGTGTGTGTGTGTGAGAGAGAGAGAGAGAGAGACAGACAGACAGACAGAATGTGTGTGTGTGTGTGTGTTTGTGTGTATAAATATATATATGGAGAAAGACACACTCAGCCAGAGAGCACTGTCCCGTCTGTTGGTTTACTCCCCAAATGTCACCAAGGGCCAGGAAGGACCAGGGCTGAGCAAGGCTGATGGGAGGAATTGGTAACAGTCCAGGTCTCCGACATGAGTGGCAGGAACACAGCCACTTACATGATGACAGTTGCCTTCCAAGTCTACATCAGCTGGGAGTCATAGCCAGGCACTCTGACATGGGATAAAGGCATCTTAATTAGTGTCTTAACCATGAGGCTGAATGTCCATTCCTAAAAGAAGTTTTCTGTAAAGAACTTTACATTTAATAGTTGTTTAAGATTATGTGTGTTGTTCAGGATATGTATGTCCATATGCTTTTGCAAAGTGTTTATTTTTTTTTCATTATATATGACTGTGGGTCAGCTGTTTGGCATAGTGGTTAAGATACTGGTTGGGACACCCATAACTCCGAATTCCAGTTCTTCTAATTGCCTATTTTGTGTACCCCAAAAGACAGCAAGTGGTGAATCAAGTGGTTGGGTCCCTGTCAGCCAGGTGGGAGACCTGTACTGGAGTCCCTGCTCCCAGCTTGTTTACAGGTATTTGAGGAGTGAACCAGTGGCTGGGAGCTCTGCCTGCCTGTCTTAGTCTTGAGCTAAGATAGACAATGAGTATATAAATGTGTCACATAACACATAGATACAGAATTGATGAGTCGTATGATGTGTTTATCTTCAGTCATGGTTAGTATTATGGAATTGTTTGTATTTCCAATTTGTTAACTGATTTATCATGGTGTGTATGACCCCTTCTTCCCCAGAGTCTGGGGTTTTGTTTGCTTTTTTTTTTTTTTTTTTAATAACTGGTTATGTGCAAGGGGGCATCTCCGTGTTCTTTTCTTTTTATTTTTTGAGATGTATTTATTTATATGAAAGAATGACACAGAGGGAGAGCTGGAGATCTCCCATCTACTGGCTCTCTCCCCAAATGCTCACCTCTAGGCTGAAGCCAGGTGCTAGGAACTCCATCCGGGTCTCTCACCTGAGTGGCAGGCCAAGTACTTAGGCCATCACCTCCTGCCACAGAAGGTGTGCATTAGTAGGAAGGTAGTTGGGAAGTATGAACTTTTATGTTTACCGAGAAATTGGAGCTGGGTTAGGCTTAATGTTTATGGTAGTTGTAGATTTTCTGTGCTAATAGTATCCTTAGTTTTCTCTCTCATGCTGTCTTTGGGTTTCCGTAAGAGCATCTTCTTAAATAAGTCTGTATCCTGTAGATTTCTCCATCATGATTGTTTTATTGTACAGGAGCCTTACTGATGCTATGGTCAGTGGAGGGGGGCTGGAAAAGAGAAGTGTTCCATTGTTATATGATTAGTTCTCACACTAGTGATGAGCCTGTAGGCTTTTTTTCTACCTATGGTTGAAACAGGAAGCCTGGAGGGGACTGGAGTAGGGATTGCCCTTTCTCTGGGTCAGTTAAATTCCAGTAAAAATCCCAGTAGGAGAGGCTGTGGAAGGTGTACAATAGTTTCTTTGATTAAAGGCAGTTTTTAAGTGCAAAACAATACTCTGCTTATTTCAGAGCGATCCCTTTTCCCCTCCCTCTGCCAGAAGTGCCAGGAGACTTCTTGTTTTTATACCAGTTAGTTGTGACTTCTGTTCCTGATCAGTTAGGATTCTTATTTGCCTCTGTGCAGCTTCGGGGGTGACACTTTGCTCTGTGCCTTCATTTCTCTGTCCTGTGTAAGAAGTTTGTGATTTTGTTTGTTCAGCTTTTTTTTTTTTTTTTTTCCTTGTTGTAAGGGTGGCTATGATGATTTGCAAGCTCTTTACCTGTCATGCTGGAACCCAGTCCATCTGTGGCCCTGGTTCCTATAACACTCCGCCCCTCCCCACAACTCTTTCTGAAGGTCATGATGGCATAAGAAGCATAGAATTTTATTGCTGTTAGAAATGATGTCCTTATCAAAATATGTTATTTAATTCATGGTTGTAGGCCCGTGGAAATACCATTGATTTTTTTTGTGTGTGTGTGTATTCATCTTCTGACAATCTTTTTAGCCATGTTTAATTACTGTTTTACAGACTTCTTGAAATACACACTTAAATACTTCAGTTCTTCTCGTCTCTTCAAATTCTATGCTCTGTAGCCTTTAAGATAGGTGTGATAACTGTTGGCTGTGGGGTTTATTTCTTTGCATAGTTGTTGCTGTTGCCACCACTTGGAAGTTTGGAGTTTGCAAAATACCTTGGTCCGGCATGGCGTCCGTGTTTTGATTGATGTGACATCTCTTAGTGGGAGTGGATGAACGAAACATCCCTGGTTCCTAAGCATCCACTTGCAAGTATCTTTATACAGTGTTAGATACCAAATCTATTCCGGGAAATGAAGGTAGAGCAGACCAGTACTCGAGGGCCACCCTTGTGTGGAAATCCTCACCTTTGCAGAAATTCATTCACGGGTTTGGATGGCAAGGTGTCATTTGACTCCGTGTAGCTCCTCCTGCATTTTAGAGAGAACAAGCACTCAGTTGCCAGGGATTCTGTTTAATGTCACCAAGATAGGTTCTCACATGAAATGTAGATTTCAGAAACTAGACTGTGGTAGTGATTTGTCCTTTCCTCTTTGGTATTTTGGAGAAAAACGTTGTGATTCTTGGGTCAAGTTTTGAACCGTATTTGTTTGGGCTGTGTCTCAGGTAGCTGGGAAACGCTGGGCGGTTTATATAGTAGATTTAGATCTATTGCGTCCATTGCTAAAATACCCAAGATTAGTTTGTCATAGTCATTTGATCTATTTGATAAAACATGGGGATTATGTGTGTGTTTTGTCCCTAACATTGTGATAGTTGTTTTAGCTTAGACGTGAGTAATGATCATCAGCTTATGTATAATGATTCATTGCTTTGATGCCAGCCCGATTTCACAGTATATACACCAAAATTCCTCTTGTAAACTCTGGAGGTTTTTGAGAAAATACTGTCTTGAAAATTTTCACAATGTCATTTTGACCTAAGGACTTGTTCAGAGTTACATGGTGCTTTACTAAACGTCAGAATTTAAGCCCAGGATAAGTTTAGCGTTTGATTTTTTTACTCCTTTGATTAGTGACTATGTGCGCTGAAGAAGCGTTGACAGCGTCTCATTTATAGAGAATGGAACCGAGCCTTTTTTTCCCATGCTTCCTTTTAGGTTGTGGACTACATCCTGCCACCCTTGGTGTCCTTGGTTCAAAGCCAGAATGGTGAGTGTGACCACATCCCTGGGGATTCCACCACCTACGCGTCGTGTTCCCCGCTCTGTTTCTACGTAGTGACGTTCTTGGCCATCTCTTCCCCTTGTTTCAAAACAGTGGAGTGGCGGCTCTTCAGCTTGCGGTTGCTCTCAGAAACCACCTCTCTGCTGGTCAGCCAGGAGGCCGGGGACGGCAGGGAGGAGGCGAGCGTCGTGGACTCGGAGAGCAGTCTGCTGGCCCTCATCAGAGATGTCCTGCTTCCACAGTGAGTATCACGCCGCCGTGTCCGCACGGGGAGGCCCAGGGAACCGCTGCCAGGGGCGGGCTTGGCGGCCCCTAGTCCTTGTGTTCCTGCTTTCTAGCGCGAATTCCCCGTGTGCACGTGGTCTGTAAATAGAGGCGTAGGCTGTCACCTTGCAGCGGCGTAGGCTGTCACCTTGCAGAGAACCTCAGAGAGCCCCAGTCCCACCTGAAAAGCATCTATTTTGAGCCTAATCTGTTTCCTGCCAGACACTTGACTGTCAAGTTATGCAGATTGAAAGATGTTTATCTTTTAAGGAGCAAGGTGTACAAGTCAAGGTCATTAATACAAGACTGCTGGAACATGAAATTGAAGCTTTTCCTGACTCTTCCCTAAATTAATAGAGATGGAAGAAAGTCTTCCTTCCCCCACAGTTTCTGGAATGGAAATTAAGTTTAGTTACAGACAGGATTTGCTTTCGGGGTGGGGGCAGTGGAAGAGGTGGTAGAACAGATAATGAGGATTAGTTCATTAGAAAGTTATTTTCTTTCCCCTCTTAGTCTGTGGCGCAGGATAGCAAAACCCAAAGTAGGATGACTGCTGAGCTCACCCACTGCGAACACGGCTCCTTCCACTCAGGGAACACTGTGATTTTGATCAAACAGGACAATTTACATTTTAAAAGCATGCCGTGTGTCATTATTAAAGATTTTTTTTTTTTCAAAATGAAATGCTAGATGGTGTATGGTATGCTACTCTGTAAGCCTGATCAACTGCGGTGTGAGACAGCTGAGCAGGTTTCCAAGGGTGGCAGCCTCTTCTAGTGCTCCTCTCTCCTTGTTCACCCTCTCGCGATCTGTTTCCATGCCAAAAAAAATCACAGTATAGAAGCCACATAATGAGAATGTCATTCCATTCTGATTTGGGTCAATGTTAAGAGTTTGAACTGTCAAATTATGTCCATATAAACAGCAACAATGGTTAAAACGACCAGCTGCTGGCTCAGAAAGGCGAGTCTTTGAGTGTGTGGCTCTTACCCGTCAGCCCTTGCTCTGCTGGCTGAGGGGCCCGTGTGGACTGATGGGAGCTGCATCTGCAAGGACTTGGTGTGCGGGCCAGGCGCTTGGTGCTTTTTCCCTTGCTGTGCTTCTGTGGTCAGCTTTTGGGAGATCTCTGAAAACGCGTTTCTTCAGTAAGGATGCTTGTGATACTCAGACTAAAGAAATGGGATCTATATCAAAAATGTTGAGGCTTTGTTACGGGAAGCTTTTTCAGTGGTAAACTATCAAATAAATTTTCAGTTATATTTGTTACATGTGAGTGCATCTATATAGTCTATGCTTACAGGGATTCTGTAAGTATTATGATCTTCTAATGGGGTTACAACCCGTCCAATGAGATGGATGAATGTGCCACCTTAGATTTCTCAAACTGTTCAATAATAATCAAACTTATCTTTAGCCAAGAAAAGGCCCTAAAAAGTAGTTTTTACACAAAACATGATTTTTTTAAAAGAGATATGTTCTGGATATCTGCTGTCTAAAAACTTGTACAAGCATTTTTTTTTTAGGACCGAAGATGGTAGGATCCTGTGTTTACAGTAGGGATTAGACTGACTGAAGAGGGAATTCAAAGGTCAGGAATAGAGTGTTAGCAGCTTTGCAAATCTGAAATAAATTTCTTTATGGCTAAAATCTGCCCAGTTTTACAGCAGTTTGTAAATAAAAAAAGTCAACTCTAATTCAGTGCTCTTGTGTTATTTATTTGAGTTGAAATAAATATGTAATTCCTTTAATAGGTACCTTTTCCAGGGATGAGGAATTAAAGAGGAAAATAAATGTAGAAACCACATGGCGATTCGAGAGCATAACTACTGTAGATGAGTTCAGGTGTTTGTTGAATAGCTTGAAATACACTTGGGATGATGGTGTGAAAGTTAGTAGGGTGTAGTGTGCAATGTTTTCACACTTGGTGGACTGGACTGGCTGTGAAGCACAGTTCTTGCCTCTGTGTTTTCAGCCTTTAAGCCTTAGTTTGCTCATCTTGAGCGGGGTAACAGTACCTATCTCAGGATAATTGTGAAGGTTGAAATAGGATGGCTCTCATAAAACACTCAGTACAGTGTGTGTGACATAGTACACTCTCAATAAGTATTTAGCACCACTAATACTGGGCTCATTATTTCAATATCTGCTATAAAAAGTTAAAGTAAAGGTTACAATAATAGAATAATAGTAAATAGGTCCTAATACATAGAAATTAAGTGCCATTAAAATAGATCATGTTTACTACAAGGTGCTTCAAAAAGTTCACAGAAAAATGGAATTGAGGGCGAAGTTTATTTTGGTACAAAAATGTTTGAAATCTACACATAGTTTTTTTATGATATGTATTTTTCAAGAACTTATGGGGGCACCTTTGTGTAATAAGGACTCAGTTAAGTGTAATGTAAAAAAATTAATGGACTATAAGAACTATGTTCATTTAACGTTCTTAACTCTGGAAAACTAGAGCCTTGGTGAGGAGTTCAGTCTTTGAAGATAACTCTGGGTAATTATAAGTTTAGAAATGGTAATAGTGGTTGATTCATGTTCTCTGTTCAGTGTATGAATGTAATGGTTTAGGAATCATGAAATTTGTGGAGTTCACAGGAGCTATATAATGTCCACCTCAGTTTGGAAAGCAGACATAATGATGGTGATAGTTTTAATTTTGTTCAAGTTTGGTTTCTCCTTTGATCTTAAAAAGTACTGTGGCTAAAACCAAGGTGGTAGGTTTTTTGTGGGTGTATAATGGACTTTCTAGCTTTTGCATGCATTAGTGAAGATTATTTTATTTGATAAAAGTAGTAATTCCAAATTAACTTGGAAAATAATGTTTGCTTATACAACTGTGAAGATGAAGACTTGTACTAGCATCAAATAGAGCTTGATTCAGGTTTTTAGTTTATGTCTGCAACACTCCAAGTATCTCTTTATCACCACCTCTGTACTGCACCTGCACCTGCACCTGCATGGCATTGCTCTCAGATGGGGTCCTTACACATGGTAGTTCAGTGGCTCCTGGGAGGTGATTCTGGAAAAAGGGTGAGTGTCTTTTCCTAACAGCTCTGACAAAATTCTCCGGGAAGGTGGTAGCTTTTTCCTGCTAGGTTTGTGTAATATCTGCTTCCCTAGTGCTTATCAGAATTGCTGTGTGATATGAATGAAAGCTCTTTTGTAAGAATAAACACTTGGATTAGGGCTCTCCAGAAAGATAGAACCAATAGTGTGTGTGTGTGTGTGTGTGTGTGTGAGAGAGAGAGAGAGAGAGAGTGTGAGTGAAGAGATTGGTTCTAAGTATGTGTGCGCACGTGTGTATGTGAGTGAAGAGATTGGTTCTAAGTGTGTGTATGTGAGTGTGTGTGTGTGAAGAGATTGGTTATAAGTGTGTGAGTGTGAGTTCATGTGCACCTGTGTGTGCATGCGCGCACGTGTGTGAAGAGATTGGTTATAAGTGTGCATGCACACACGTGTGTGAAGAGATTAGTTATAAGTGCACGCACACGTGTGTGTGTGTGAAGAGATTGGTTATAAGTGTTCATGTGCACGTGTGTGTGTGTGAAGAGATTGGTTATAAGTGTTCATGTGCACCTGTGTGTGCATGCACATGCGTGTGTGAAGAGATTGGTTATAAGTGTGCACGCACACGCGTGTGTGTGAGAAGAGATTGGTTATAAGTGTGCATGCACACGTGTGTGTGTGTGAAGAGATCGGTTATAAGGGATGCCTGACGTGGTTAGGGAGATTGAGAAGCAGTGAGCAAGTCAGAGACTCAGGAGAGCAGATGATGGGGTTCAGGTCCGGAAGCTGGCCAGCCTGACTTGGGAAGGGCCAGGGTCTCACTTCCAGCTCAGGGGCTGCAGCAGCCCTGCGCCTCAGCTCAGGGCAGTCGGGGAGTTCCCTCGGACTTACCCTTTTTCTGTATTTACGTTTTTTGATTGAGTGAGGTCTACCTCCATCAGGAGGGCCATTTGCTCACCGCATTCTGCTGATTCAGTGCTGATGTCATTCAGGAAGACCCTCCCCGACACAGCTGGAGTAGTAGTGTGTGGCCAGATATCTGGGCACCCGTGGCCTGGTCAGGCTGGCACACACTAGCGGCCATCACAGTGCGTATGGAGCGTATCATGAGCGAGTTACTCTGTAAGTGAATGAATCGATCTCAGACAATCGTTACCTTTTCTCAGGTTGCATGCTTCCCTTTCTAGTGAGATGAACTTGAGTCACTCCGTGCTTGTTGAGTGCCCACTCTGCTGGGTTAGAATGCCGTGCAGACAGGGATGGTGATTTTGATCTTGACTCCTGGGTATGATTGCTGAAAAACGGATGGGCACTGCAGGCGTTTATGGGGCAAGCAGTGGTGTGGCAGAGGCAGAGGGCTGGGCAGTAGGCGGGCCAGCTTCTTTCCGGTGGTTCCTGCCTGTGAGAGTTTCGGGAAGTGAGCTGGGAGGGAATGTTTTCTCTCCATCAGCCTCCTTACTCAGCCAGTACTGAATGCGCTGTATTTCACAGGCGTAGTTCTAGTTCTTGGGCTTCTGGACAACCAAGATGTGTACAGCCTCTGCCTCTATGGGACTCAGTCTCTGACGGAACCAAAGATTGCAGAATTTTTTTTAACTCGAGAAGTTTGGAAGTCATGTGAGCCAGACGTCCATTGGAGAATTACGTACTGAAGCTATGTTTATTACGTTGTGGGCCTGAATGCTGTTTGTTAAACCTGCAGGGAACATGTTCTTGAGTGCAGTCTGGAAACAGCTTGCCGTGTTTCTGAGCTGGACGAGTCACCCATGTAGTTCGCGAAGCTTGGGGTTGCTCCGTGTCCTGTGCGCTTGGGGTGGGGTTTCCTGTGCCCCACCTATGAATGGCTCCCTGGACTCGAGCTGCTGCCGTCATAATTTTGGAAACACTGCTCACCTCAGGACACAAGAAAAGTGTTGACCATTGAAACTCTTGCGTAACATCGGATGTGAGCAAATCAAACTG